GCCCCTAGGCCTTTGTTCTAGCATCCCTTCTGCACCCTAAGTGGCTGTATACCGGGGGACTGCCTGCCCCACAGGGAGCAGGAGAGCCAGCGAGTCTGTCCAGGGGTCCCGACTGACAGCAGCCAGAGCCTTCCAGCAGTACCCTGCAGTGCCAGCAGGTGACGCCCCAGCCCCTGGAGGACGAGAGGAAAGGTGCTGGAGGGGTCCAGCAGGAAAACACACCCTGCAGGAACCCAGCACCCACCCGAGAGCCTCACATCTGCCCCCTGGAGGTGGGCAGGGCAGGAATTACCATTCCCGCTTGCACCTCAGAAACGGCTCAGCCAGGGAGAGTTCCTGGCCCCAGGTCACAGAGTGAGTCAAAGCCCTTGGGCTAAGGTCTGGGTAGGCTGAAAGTTAGCCCACCAGCTTCTCTTAAGCAAACCATTTCCAACAGAAAGCTCAGCCCAGAACTTCTCCTCTTCCAGGGTCATAAACCTGCTTAAAAACCAACTTATCACCAAGATCTTTATGAGGCCATGTCTCTGCGCCCCACCCCAGGAGCCCGTGGCTGGGTATGTGAGAGCAGCTCAGAGGGAAGAGGGGCCACCGGGGGAGCCAGAGCGAAGGAGGGGTCCAATAAACCGCCGCTCCCAGAGATAAGAGAAAGAGGCTGTGACGAGGACGGGGGCTTCTCCACACACACAGTCACAGTACCATGCTGGACCACTGTCTGAGGCAACCGGTCCCCAGTGGGCATACAGGGACACTGAGACCCAGGGGGCAAGTGCTCAAGGTCACATGGCAAGTCCAAGGCTAAGGTGGGGCAGGACCTGCCATTCCAGATGCCCAGCCTGGGACTTTTGAACAAAGTTACAGTGTCCTCGGGAGGGGAAAGCCGGGGTGTCCTATCAGGGCTGTCTCGGATCTCTGGTTGGCAGGGGGCATCCTTTTGAAGGTGAGGATAAGGGGAGAGCTGAGGCTCTTTTGCATGAGCCAGAGGAGGAAGAGGAAGCAGATATTTATATAAGCAAAACCCCAAGTTTAGGAGAGAGACATACACGGTGCACTATCTTCCCAAGCTGGCTTAGCTGGAGAGGAAAGAAAAACTTCCAGATAGGCCACTCACCTGCTATGTGGCCGCAGGTGGGTGACTTCACTTCTTTGAGCTCCATCTGAAAGATGGGGTTAACAGGACCCTACCTCACCCTACGAGAAATAATACATGCAAATGACTTGGCACCACGCCTGGCACGTAGTGAATGCTCACCGGATAGTGGTACTATTGTCATTATTGTTGCTCGGGCACAAGGTGGAGGGCCAAACCCTGCATTCTCAGAGAGATGGGATGAAGGGGTACTGAGCTGGCAGTCAGAAGACCTGGGTCTATTTCCACTAGAGCACTGTCCTGTTGTGGGAACTTGGCAAAAATCCCTTCTCTCTTTAGGCTTCTAGGCCTCAGTTGCCCTATCTGTAAAATGAGTAGGTTGGCTCTGCAAGGGCCTTCCGTGATCAGGATGCTATGAAGTCTATTGTCCCTGCTTTCCTACCCTAGGTGGACCAGGGGTGGGTTTGGAGGCTTGGCAGGGCTGGGTTGAGGACCTCTTGGGCACTCTGGTTAGGCAGTGAGAAAGGCCAGTGGGGTCAGGAGACCCAGCTTCCGTGCCCAGTGCTGGGCCTCTGGGACCTTGCCTAGATACCTGGACCTCTCTGTGCTTCCTCATCCAGCAAACAGGGCCAGTTCGCCCCAGCCTTCCCAACAGCAGGACTCAAGAAAGAGCAGGCCCAGGGCAGGGTGGTAATAGAGGTTTGCCCCAGCATGTGTCTGCGGAGGGGGAGGCCTACCCCACCTCTACCCTGGGGGAGGACAACACTAGGGTTTCAGGGAGTAGCTGCCACGGCTCCCCCAGGCCTCAGGGCTCCCGGGCTCTCCCTGATAGGGAAATCGTCCCCACTTTGCCTGAAAGGCCCCCCGCTCCCGGCCACCACCCAGTGCTGGACGCTATCTTCTATCGTTCCTGGACCCCTGCACAGCTTCCCCGCGGCTCTCCGGCTCCCCACTCCTCCTCTGACTCATTCTCCACACGCCGGCCACAGCCATCGTCCCACTCTTATCTCCACCCCCCAAAGCCCTCAAGGAAGTCTTCCCACACCTCCCATCAGGCCTGTCTCCCCCCCCCCGCCTCCCGCCCCGCCTCAGTTCTCCCCCCTGGCCTTGCCCTGCCCTCATCAACCATCTCCTGCCTCCCATCACTGAGCTCCAGGCCCGGTTCTACAGACCATGTGTCCCCTTGGGCCTCAACACCTCTGTTCACACTGTCCCTCTGCCCGCAATGCCCTTCCCTGTTCCCAGGACCTTGACTCCTATGTCACTTCCTCTTGCAAGACTTCCATATCTCCTGCCTTTGGGCCAAACGTCCCAATTCTTGGGACGCTTACCAAGATGTCATTTTACCTTTGTTTGTGATTATTTGATTCATGCATGCTTCTTCCCCGCCCACCCACCCCCCCAGACTGTGAAAACCCCAAGGGCAGGGCCTCACCCACTACCAAACACAATGTCAACACAAAGGAGGAGTGTTAATACATGTGTGAAATGAATGAACACACGAACAAATGAATTCTTATACCTACTCCCAACCTCTGTGCTTTTAGAGGGCAACTAGAAAGCACCAACCTTCCCCCGCCCCCAACCTCCCGGCCAGGATAGGCACACTTTCTGCAGCATCCCTGATCAGAGCCCTCCAGCAGTCACTTGCATACCTCCTGTGATAATGAGCTCACTCTCTATCTCCTGACAGCCCATTTCGTGATGGATGGCCTTTTAGAGAGCACTTTATTACAGAGGGGTTGAAATCTATGTCTGCGCCTACAGCTTTCTCTCTCAGGTCTCAGGTCTGCCCTGCACCTCTCCCCAAACTCAGTCCTTCAAGCCCCACTCCAGATTTTCTCTTCCTTGTCAGAGCAATTAATTCGTCAACTCAGAGAGAAAACCCAGTCCTTTGGGGCCTCTTCTCCCTTCTCTGTATATTTGCAATCTTTTACTGACCCCTTGAAAAGGTCGGTGCTGTGCGGAGCCCTCACTCCAGATGACTTCTGAGCAAATTTCACCAACACTTCCCCTTCCTAACGTGGGAAAGGGAGCCTTTCCTGCAGAGGCAGCCCTGTGCGCCTCCACGTCAGTGACAGCCCAAGCAGCCCCCCCCTTTTCTTTTCTGGGCCTCAGTGCTTCCACTTGTGCAATGGAAAGAGTTCCTCTGAGCAGGAAGGGGAGCCCTGTCTTTACTGCCCCTTATTCTGTTAGAGTACCATACCATCAGAACCCCAGAAGTGCAAGATTTTGGCCAGGGCCATCTTCCTCGGGGGCGGGGAGGGGGGTCACCTGTACAGTCACACAGGGCCCAGTGTTTAGAAGGGCCCCCTGCATGGTTGAATTCTCTCCTGTCACCATCTTGAAATTCTTAATAATATTTGAACAAGGGACCTCACACTGTCATTTTGCACTGGACCCTGTAAATTGCATCCAGATCCTGACACATCTGTCTAGTCTTGAAATGTCCTACCCAAGGGAGGGACAGGTTGAATAGATAATACATGTCTCTGCACAATTAGGGTGTCCCCAGGAAATGTTGGAGGATCAAACATCATGGGGCAGCCTCTGTGCAGCTGGTGGGCACTGAACCCCCACTGGGGAAAGGAAACCCATCGCCCCAAGACTTCCTGACCCAGAGCCTTGTCCTTCATGAATCCTTCCCCAAATCTCTCAACCTTGCTACCCACTCCCAGCTCCTCACCTGTTTTAGGCACTCCCCCTTGGGTAGCTATGAAATATTTACCAGTCCTTAATATAAGGAGAAGGGGATGCAAGATGCATTTAAAATACCAGTGGGCCCCAGCTACAATAAATGAATCAGGGCTCTTAGATCCTGATTCACACAAACCAACTGTTAAAAAGACACGTTTGAATCAACTGGAGTATTTTGCATACGAACTGAGTGTTAGATAATACTCAAGAATTTGTGTTGATTTTGTTAGATGTGTTAATGGCATATTATGTAAGAAAGTGTCCATGTGTTTTAGAGATGCATGCTGAAGTATGTAGGGGTAAAATGACATGATGTTGGAGATTTGTTTTAAAATACTTTAGCAAAAAGGGAGGAGAGTGGATGAAATAAGTTACAAAATCTTGCTAATGGTTGGAGCTGGGTGATGGGTGTCTAGTGGTTCCCTGCAAGCTCCACTTTTGTGTACGTTTGAAACTTCTCATTAAAATAAAGGGCGGGGGGGGGGAAGCTAAAAGGATTCAAGAGAATTGTGAAAAATTCCCTAGAAGGTCCTGCAAAGATGCCCTTGCCCTACCGCTTTAAAAGCTTTCTCTGGAAAGTCAACTCAGGAAAACGCCCCAGTTGTATGCAGACTCGTGTATGTGCATATGTGCATTTTCCCGGGAAAAACATCCAAAGCTTTCATTGGAGGCTCAGAGGGGTCGTGACCCCTCCCCCCGCAAAGATTAAGGACTCGCTACCTTACAGGGGGAACCCTGTTTGAAGTCAGGTTGCCCCCTCACCTCAAGCTGATCACTGCCGAGTGCAACACAGGGCCGACGTGGCTGTGCGACGCCGGCCTGGGGTCCCCCCCGCCGTCCCTCGGATCCCTTTTTTCCACCTGTAAAATGGGGTCACGGGCGGTCCACGCGGCCGGCCCGGGGAGGACGAAGTGTTCGTGCCGCTAGGCCGTCGACCCCGCCGGAGACTCCCACACCTAGCGATGCCTCGGACGCTGGCCTGGGACGCGCCCTCCGCGCCCCCACCCCCTTCCAGGCCCCGGCCCGACCGCCTCCCGCTTGGGGCGGCAATTTGTCTCCTTTTGAACCCCCCGCCCCCGACGGGTTTCCCCCTTTGATTCGCGGCCCTGAGGCTCCCCCCCGCTTTGAAATGCAAACCCGCCCGGGCTGGGGCCGCGGGCGCCCGGAGCTATAAAAGGCCTGGGTGGGGCGGGCGCGGCGGCCGGGCCCGCGAGTTCAGGTGAGCAGTCTGCTCGTCGGGGCGGCCCGCAGCGGCGGCTCCAGGGCCCAGCATGCGCGCGGGCCCCCGCGGCCACCATGTACGTGGGCTATGTGCTGGACAAGGATTCTCCGGTCTACCCCGGCCCCGCCAGGCCCGCGAGCCTCGGCCTGGGCCCGCAAGCCTACGGCCCCCCGCCTGCGCCCCCGGGGCCCCCGCAGTACCCCGACTTCACCAGCTATTCTCACGTGGAGCCTGCCCCCGCACCCTCTGGGGCCTGGAGCGCGCCCTTCTCTGCGCCCAAGGACGACTGGGCCGCCGCCTATGGCCCAGGCCCCACGGCCCCTGCCGCCAGCCCAGCCCCGCTGGCATTCGGGCCCCCTCCAGACTTTAGCCCGGTGCCCGCGCCCCCTGGGCCTGGCCCAAGCCTCCTGGCGCAGCCGCTCGGCGGCCCGGGCGCACCGTGCTCGCCCGGAGCGCAAAGGCGGACGCCCTACGAGTGGATGCGGCGCAGCGTGGCGGCTGGAGGCGGCGGTGGCAGCGGTAAGGACCCCTCCCTCGCCCGGCGCCTCCGGACGGTTCCCCTGGGCACCGGCAGGTGCTAGGGCGAGGCCCAGCCGCCCCCTGTCTGACCCCTGCCCCGGCTCCCCCAGGGTTCCCCGCTTGGGCCTCCCTGACCACTCTGGTCCGGGATTGCTGTTCTCTCAGCCTCTCCCTTCTGAATCCCAGACTGCCGGGCCTTGGTAAGCACAGCCTGTCTTTCCGCATAGACAGGGGAACGGAGACCCCGAGACGTGAAGAAACGCGCCCATGGTCGCCGGGCCAGGCCGGAACTAGAACGCAGCTCCCCAGACTTATCGCAGGGCTCTTTAGCAACACTGGCCCCGGTCGTCATCCGGGGCTTCCACCCGTATCCCATCCCCAAGAGGAAGCTGCAAACCGGCCCCAGAAGGGGCGATGCACTGATTGTGTGCGCACAGGCGGGCCGCTCTCCTTTCCAGGTCTCAGCACCCGGCTCGGTACAGTGAAGAGACTGGTGGCTCCTATCCTTTGGACTAAAAAAGAGCCCTCTGTGGTTACACTGGTGTGGGGGGTCCGTACCTTACCATCCCAGGGCCCTCCCTGAACTCTTGACCCTGGGGGAGGGGCAGGCAGGAGCAGTTGGGAAGGTGGCTACTGTTTGTCTCCTGAGACTGTGAACCTCCTGCCCCCAGGCAGGCCTCTCTGATCCACCCTCTTCAAAGGCAGAGGAGGGGGCAGGACAAAGGGCCAGCTTTAATGAGGGGCGGCCTGACCTCCTTTATAGGTCCCCCCTTTGTCATGTAACAGACTGTGCCTTAGCTCGATAGTGACTCCTGTTGGCCGGAAAGTGAACACGGTACCCCATTGTCCCGACTGTGTCCGGCCTGTCCTGACAAAGGCCACCTGGCTTTAGGGGCGGGAAGTCGGCCTGCCCACCCTTTGATGTCCATCCCCTCCCCCACTTCCCCCAGCTGGGAGGGAGCCTGGGACTTCCCCCATCTCCTCTCTCTCTTCACCCCCATGTCCCCACACACACTCCTCAGTCCTGGGGCAGATGCTGGGGAGGTCTGGCTATAATTGTAGCACCTTCTTGGGAGTCCCAGGGACACGGAAGCTCCTATCTGCCTCCAGAAGCCTCTCATTTGTGTGACCTTGGCTAAATAAGAATAGCTGACGCTTATGGACCACTTACTAATGGACCAGGCCCTACTGTTAATTCTCACATTATGGTAGGTACTATTAGCATACCCACTTTTAATGTGAAAAATCTATGGCCTAGAGAGGTTAAATCCTTGCACGAGGCCATAAGACCAGTAAATGGGGAGGGGGGGCTGGGACTTGAACCCTGGCAGATTGACCATCAAGCCTGTGTTCTTATCCTCTCAACAATAGCTTCTCTTAAATAAGTCATCTTTTCTGGGTCTCGGTTTTACCATCTGTGACATGATAGGGAAGGGTCTTATACCTTTGTTTAAGTAATAAAAGGACACTTGTGAAAAATCTGGTGGAAAATACAAATCTTCTCCCTAGAAAAAAAGGGTTGCCTAATTCTGCAGACAATTTGAGGGGTTCTAGAAGCTCCCGAAAGACTTCTCCGTTAACCCTGGTTGAGAACCCTGCATGAGATTAAATGAGAGAAGGTGTCTGTGGCCACTGACTCCCCGGTTTTGTGTCTGTTCACTGGAAGGGAAGCCTGCTTTTCCTGCCCTTCTATTCCAGTTGTTGTGACTGCTGATCAGGCAACTTTGGAGATGGGGGGGGTCCCAGTTGGAGGAGGAGTTCCTCAGGAGCAAGGACCTGGAGAGGGTGTGCCAGTGGGGGTCAGAGGACTGGTGGGAGGCGTGGGGGAGCTTTCAGGCTGTGTGACGTCGGGCAAATCACTTTTTCTATCTGGGCACAGGAGCTGCGTGCGAACTCTGCTCAGCCTCTGGTCTCAAAAGTCATTTGGAAAGTGTTGTCCCCAGGCAGATGGGGGCCTAGCAGTAAGTCTGCCCAAAGGCAAAAACAACCTTTCCCCCTTTATTCCCACAAAGTAGAATGAGAGAGCCCAGGGAAGTATGCAGGCTCCCAAGGAAAGTGGCTGCCCCAGAAGCCAGGTTTGACCCATTCTGCTGAGGACGCAGGATCATCAGCTTTCTAGAAACTAGAAGCTGCTGCCTGTCTGCCCAGGGGCATCTGACTCCAACTGGTGCTCCTGAGATGGGGCAGAATTGGCAGAATCAGGATGGAGTTACAGACCCTCCCTGAGAGAGAGGCCAGGTTGTGTCCCCCCCCCCCCCCCTTGGCCTCACTTTCTCCTTCTGGGCAATGAAGATCCAGGGTCTCTAGGATGGTGCCTGTGTAATGCTGTTGTCTATGATGGCAAAGGGAAGGTCAATACATGCCAACACCCACCCTGCGCCCCCTCCCCCACAGCAAATGTTGCTGGCCACCTGGTCTTGTGGTACCAGGTCTTCTTATCAGCCACTGTTCCCTCTTCCTGGAAACTCCTGTGCCCTAACTCTTTGCAGGCCTAGCTCCTTCTCACCCTTCAGGTCTTAGCTTAATGGTCATCTCCTCAGAGAGGTCCTCCATGATTTCCCAAGGAAGGCTCCCCCTATACACATCGATAACCTTCACCATGTTTCCTTCAGAGCACCACCACCTCTGATTTCAATTTACTCACTTATCTGTGTGTTTGTGTTGTCTATTTCCCCACCCACCAAAGGAACGCCCATGAGGTCCAGAGCCACATCCATTTGACCCATCACTACCTTCCAGGCACCATCATAGTGCATGACGTTTAGTAGGGCCTCAATACATTTTGTTGAATGAATGAACAGGACAAGTGTGAGGAACAGTCAGACAACCGAGAGAAGAGGGAAGAGGTGAGATCTTGGCTTTGACATGTTTCTGTGGCCCCAGCCCTAGGGGTGGGGCCCATGGCCGTTGAGCTGAGCAAGCTCATGCCAGGGGTGGAAGCCTGGTTGCTCCTGTCTCCCTCCTGGGACGGTACTCCATCCTCAGCTGAGGAGTCGGCATACCTGAGGCTGGGACTGGGACTGTTTTTTTGTTTTTAAGATTTTATTTATTTATTTATTTATTTATTTATTTACTTGACAGAGAGAGAGCACAAGCAGGGGGAGCAGCAGGCAAAGGGTGAGGGAGAAGCAGGCTCCCCATGGAGCAGGGAGCCAGATGCAGGACTTGATCCCAGGACCCCGGGATCATGACCTGAGCCGAAGGCAGACGCTTAACCGACTGAGCCACCCAGGCGTCCCTACGACCCGGGTTTTATCCTAAGGAGGGACAGTGAGAACTGGAAAGAGGAGAGAGACTGTTGGACTTCTTTCCATCATCAAAATATTAACCAGTTCTGAGTGGTTACTATCACTTGGCTGAGGCCAGGATAGGAAAGGACTACAAGGGGTTCTATTTTGTGATCTTCCCTTTTGCATCTACAAATAGCAGCATTTTCATTAAGAGGGTCAGACATCATCATGTCAAAGGCTCAGCATCTGTTCCTTATGAACAAACAGTACTTCCCAGGTCAGTGGCCTGTGGGGAGGCTGAGGTCCCATACAACGAGGGAGATGTTTGCTGAGATGATGAGTCTGTTGCAGCAGCGTTCAGGTCTTGGTCCAGCCCCTTCAGCTTTCAGATGGAGAAACTGAGGCCCAGGGAAGGGATGAACCCCCTCCCGCCTCATTCCAGACCCTATCCCTTGGCCCATTGCCACAGCCACCAGCCTGGCCTCTCACCTTCAGCCTCTCTCTGATGCCCCAGCTGTCATCACAACCATTACCAGATTTACCTTTTCAAGGCACATCTCCTGCTCAAGAGCATTTCATGGCTCCCCGCTGCTATGGAATTCCCATTTTGTTATATGCCATTTCATTGCTGTCAAATCCAGCCCCATTTCTGTGGCATTCAGAGCCCTCTTGAGAACTGGCTCCAACCCACTATTGAAGCCACTGTCTCACTAGTTTCTCTAGATACAGCAGTGCTTACTGGGGATGGCTAAGGACTGGGCTTGGGAGCCTCAGGCCTGGGACTGCATTTCTGTTAGAAGCTGCACAGCCTCGGGTAAGTTAACTTGGATCATTTTTCTGAGCCTGTTTCTTCCAGTATAACATTAAGGATAATAATAGGATTGTACCTTGAAGCGACAGTGCCCATCAAGCCCAGCCCCTGTGCTTGGTACACAGTAGGTATGAAGTGCATCAGTGCCTATGACTGTCTCTGCCAGTCCTTAGCAGGTGCACAGAAACACACATCTCACGTTCCCTGCCTCTCCAATCTGGGTCCCTCAACCTAAATTACGCTTCCTGCCCTCCTACATCTTCACCAACTCAAATGTTGTACCTTTCCCAAGGCCACCTCCTCTAGAAAGCCCTCCTTGGTTCCCTCTCCTCCAAGCACTGTATCAGGCCCTGGTTTTAACAACACTCATCGCTATCTTATTTATTGCTTCCATCTACCTCAAGGACTCGTTTTGGTCAGCCCCATCCTTCTCACCAGGACTTGCGCCAAGTAGGAGCTCATGATAAAGCTGGTAACTGTGGTATTGGTTGAATCCTTACCGCATGCCAGGCAGTGTGTCAAGAACTTCACATGGATTTTCTCACTCAAGCTTCATAACAACGCTAAGAGGTGTGAGGATCTATTATTCGCCTCATTTTACAAATAACGTTAATGAGGCTCAGAGAGGGTAAGGTGCCTGCCCAAGCTCACACAGCTAGGATGCGACAGCATGGCGTTCAAACCTAGACTCCACAGCCTAAGGAGCATCTGTCAAATAAAGCAACACACGCAGTAGCCCCAGACCCCTCCCCATGTGCGTCCCAGCCCAGGTGGGGAAAGGAGGCTGGTAGGTTGTGGGGGGGGGGAGGGAAGAGCCGGGAGAAGCTGATGGGGGAGGGTGGGCACAGCAGGGGCCAGGCTGTTTAAAACTGGTTCTCTAGGCAGAAGCTGCGTTTGACACCTCGTCTCTCAGATGTAGCTGGGAAGGGGAATGACCCAGTTAGAAGGTGGCAGAAGGC